TAGATTGAGACATGTGCGTAAGGTTTGAAAAGCCGGATCCGAGAAATGCATCAGTAATATTGCTTTGGACTGTCGATGATTCACCAGTCTGACCGTCATTGTTAATAATATTCACCTGACTTGTAGAGTGATTCATAGATCCCATCTGAGATGCAGCCAAAAGATCAGGTGTATCTGCTTGAATTGCCGATGATGATGATCCGCCAGTTTGATTGACAGTGCTCATGATATTTTCCTGTGCCGTAGAATGATTCGTAGATTGTATCGGTGTTTGGAAGACAGAACCCATCTGGGCCTCATTAAAAGACATATCTCCGAGATCTTGTCCCGTTCCAATTCCAAATAAAGAAGACTGAGCAGATTGGTGATCACCTGTATTCGTCGTATAGGTATGATCGCCAGGTCTGGAGTTCTCTAAAGTTGCCATCATCTCAGCAAAATTTGCATCAAAATCTGGACCCAGATCCATGGCCGTAGCAGGTCCAGAAAATGGGTTCCTATCAGTATTCATCGTAGCTGCTTGTTTTGAACCACCTTGAACCGTCGAACTCGCTCGACTTCCAGCCTTAGCTTTCTCCACAGCATTGACCATCCGTTCGTAAGCATGTGTGGCATTCGTCAAACTCATATCGCCAAGGTGATGGTTGCTTGACATCATTCCCAGATTTTCTTGGGTTTCAGTGCGACGATGTGCTCGATCTGGTATATTCAGATTAAATGGGTTGGAGGTGAGAGGGTTGGCTTGGACAGCAGCTTTCCACTGGTTTTTATCCGCACCAGTGTTTGTAGGAAATTCGGAATTGGTTGGCAATGGCTCTTCCGCAGGCGTTGCTGGACCTTGTGCAGGTGGTACCTGCTCTTTCTCCTTGTTACCTTCATCATCTTCTTGCTCGTCAGGAAAGATAAGGAACTCGTCAAAGTCGACCTCGTCGATATTCGAATTCAAAGCTGGTTGTGCCGCAGTAGCAGCAGTCGGGTCTCTCGATTGGTAATTATGAGCTTCTCTCAGCAAATTGGCTCCAAACACGTTCCAGTCGTCCACAGGTGGACTGGCCACCTGTGGGACTGCTGGTACCTCACCAGCTACCATCTTTTCTTTATTTGGTAGATCGCGAGGTGACGTTGAGGTAGTTGAAAATGTTGATGGTAGATTTGGAAATGGAGATAAAGAGGGTTTACCTCCAAGTGCACGTTTTCGATGATTCACTACCGATCGAGGCTGTGCAAGGGATGGAAGCTTAGGTCGAGGAGTTGGTGACCTCGGAGAACCCGGATCTTCGACTTTTGGAGATGAATTAGCTGGTGGTGTGCGAATTAATTTCCCACCTGAGTATCCAAGGACCAATTGGGAAGGGGAAATTGGTGAGGCTGCCCCTAAGCCTCGTGATTGGGAGGTTCCAATATTTGCTGTGGAGAAAGAGACCTTCTTGCCCCGACGTGGGGTGGTATTTGAAGCCATATTTTTGTGGGTTTCAAGATCGAGGACGACGAGGTTGCGACAGTGACATGGCCAGAGAGATATATAAAAAATTAGCCGAGTTCAAGAGAAAAGCCCTCAACTCTAGTGTAGATTGAAACTCGGCTCGGGAGTCCAATGGAAGAGTACCATCTCATCTTGTCCTAAGTACTGACCAAAGTCTAAAACTGAAGGAGATATATTATTGTTCAATCTCAATTAAAGTACTTACATTTAATCTAGCTTGTAACCAGGATATATTCATTCATTCATTCATGGTTGTATGTCTAAGAGACCAGAGCTTTGATCATTCTACATTAACATGCTTAGAATCTTCCTTTGGTGACTGCTGAAGTATGTTATTAAAGCAAACATTGTAGATATAAAGCAAGATCTCATTGGATAGAAATCAATTATCCAACTAGATATCTTCCTTACAAAATGGGTCATACCATGCTGAGATACAGGTTTTAGTAAGCTCTAAAGCACCATTTCAATACTGTCATTATATAAATGACGCAGACAGACAATATCTATTGAATTCTATATCTTTGTGGGACAATGAACTTTATTACTCTCTTTTCATCTCTTCTAATACCATCCAAAATCTACCATCGTACCATACAAGAGACTATGCCATGCTGTAAACTGAGATCTCATAGCTATTGAAGTCTACTAATACATCATGAAATGATCCATATTATGCTCATCTCTCCTAGTTAGTAGCTGTCACTTTCTACTGTCTCAACACACAATAAGCCACACCATCTCAAAAATTGTTCTCCGATGGCCGTCGAAGTCTACTATTTCGCTACACAATTAACTTCATTAAGCTGAGGATCATCATCTAACAGCCACTAAAGCCTGGCTCTCTAAAGTACAATAGACTATGTTACCAAAATTCCAATTCTAATATTCATCAAAGTCTAATGTGGCAATGAATAATAGATTATATTCTGCCAGAAACTCTCGTCTAATAAGCCATCCCAAAGTCTACTGTCGGTATGAGTAGGTAGAGAATACTATCCTCCCGAGAACTCTCATCTAATACCACCCAAAGTCTACTACCACTCCACACAATCGATGGTATTCACCCTTCTACTATTATCTCATTTTTCCAACTTACGAGATACAGGTTCCCGCCACTATTTTCCCAATTGAAGACAGATGATAGCAACCATGCCTTTAGAAAAACCAACTCCATGGAATAGCACTTGCATGATTTCCAGCCTGGGAAAAAGAAATGAGGTTAACGACACGCGATATCCATGAAACTAGAGTGGATTAACTTTCCCAATGACTCGCCATTGACCAGCTGGTCATAGTCCCTTTCTATCTCATGCATCAAGTCTCTTACTAGAAACTACCTACTTGGGGAACACCTCCCGCATTCTTGGTCTAAATGCTTCTTCATTATTTGACCTCATTAATCAATGAGTTGATATCTTGAAAACCCTAGGCCAAATTTCCGACGAAAGAGCTTGATCAGACGGCGCATTCCTTTGCTATGGTCATACGATTTTCGCATATCAAAAGTAGAATATTTTCTACACATCGTTCCAAGAATGAACTACGCGTACCCTTTACAGCCTTAAGAACAGCAATGAAACTTCTCTATGTCTTATGAATCTAATAGACGAGGGAGAGAACTATCTCACAAGCACTCATATAAAGATCCTCATCTCAACTATCCAGGCTCGCCACCTGTGGTTACCAGCAAGATTCCGAGCTTGTGATTTCATACTGCCTACTTGTCTCATTGCTCTCCATGCTTCAATATTTGCCCAAACAATAACCACCTGCATCAAAAAAAGTTCATCTCATAATACTCATTCCACATACACTTCCACATTTGGAACATTCAGTGGATTTCGATCCCTCAACGTTAAATCAATTGATTAAGTCTAATCACTTGTAAGTCTTTGAAATCGATATTACAGTAAAACTTCAAGGTTCTGCATATCCTGGGTGATTAGGTAGGTACTGAGAGGTCTGGAGTTTTGTATTATGTGGGAAAGGAATGCTAATTATGGACGGTGTTTTATACCACCGATACTAAAGATGCATTACATAATAGATTTCCAGGGTTGCTCCTCCCTCAACTTCCTCCACAGGACGTACCCTTCGGGAAAAAATGCTCCACTTATTGGCACTTCTCGGCATGGATTGAAATGTCTCCTCACACTAGCTATGAATCAGATAGGACTGTTGTATGTAGTGGTGTGTGTAGAGAGTTGAAACCCATACCCCTAGAAAAGCGAGAAACAAGTCTGCATCAACTCAGAATGGTCTGGTCTGGTACGTCTGTTGATGCGATAATGAAGCTTAGATGATCATTAAATGCAATCTGATGTTGGGCTTTGGATTCTCGAATGATCGATCGAAGATTTTGCAAAAGGAAAGAAAGGGTTAAAACTTGAAAGGTGCGCCTAGTTAGACTTTCAGCATCATAAACTGATGATGGCATCAGTGATGTGCTCACCGGTTGGATACAATGGCATAATGTATTAACTTGCATCCAGCTTGAAGTTTTGAAGATCGATCTAGAAGCTCTAAGTGGCAGCGCTTTACACACCAGGACATCAGTCAGATAAGCCATGCTTCAGTGTGATAATACTCGCACTTATTAAAGCCAAATCATTATGGATGGTGGCAAAGGTATATCGATGCCACCAACTTTGTCATCGTGGCTTGACCCCTGAATCCCACAGGCAGTTCCCCCGCACCGGGAAGTATATTGTCCATAAGGCCTTCAGTGTATTCTCACGGCATTCCTTTCACATTTTGCATCTCATTCTATTCACCAAGCTGGAGCATCGATTTGTATTTGTTGTCCATCTGCTTAACATTTTCAATATAAATCATGTCATTAACACTCGGAAATCCAAGTTTCACGAAAAATGATGGAGACTCGAACCTTAAGCGATATAACATCGTTGATTTCTAGGAACCCAGATTGGATTGAATTGGATTTATCGGGGTTTAGATTTCTTGGGGGAGTTAATGAATCTTTGGCGTTGAGCACGTAACGTTCTTTCTTAATTTAGAAACGTGGTATGGTATGGTGTTCTTTCTTCCTCTTTAACCTATCTAGTACTATAATTATCGAAAGCTTTCTCCTTCCAGTCCACGTTTGTCTGTATACATAGGTAGGTATTGTATTCATCAACCCTTATAAAAAGAATGGAAAAAAGTCATTCATTCATTTCACGGATAGATGAGAGAGAGAGAGAGAGAAATTAATCTTGCCCTTCATTCGTGCGTGGACTGTAGTATGTATATAGGTAATCACGAAACCATATTCGCCCACCGAAGCATGAACCCCCCGCTTAAAATAAAACCACCAAAAAGTGGGTACAATCGACTACACCCACAATTACCAAATAACCAAATAAATTACTAATCAATCAATCACCCCTCCCATCCCCTCCCATCCCAACCCCCCGCCTCAAAAAAAACCCCCAAAACCCCCCTCAAAAAAACCAAAAAAACCCCCAAAAAAAACCCCCAAAAAAATATCTCAAGAACGAACAGAAGGGAATTGAGCCCAACGGGGGGGGTCGAACCCCCAACCTTGTGATAGGAACTGGCACGTCTCTCGACGAGTAAGAGTCACACGCTCTACCGATTGAGCTAGCCGGGCAGGCTATTGATGATAGTTGCTTGATTTGTGTGATGGAGGGGCGTTTGTTTGGGGATATCTATGTGGATATGTATCTTGAGAAATGAAGAGAAATGAAGGAAAAGTGGATACCCACAGGGAAAAATCTGTAAAGAGTTTTGTGGGTAAGCGAGGGGGGAGCACTCGGAGGAGAGGGGTGGTGGAGTGAGTTACTGGGTAGGTAGGTGGTAGGTGGTACTCGTGCTTTGTTATTTTGTTTGTTTTGTTAAGGTTGGATGGATGATGACCTACCTAGGTACCTAGGTACACTAACTGAGGCATATCACTTTACATACCTACCTACCTACCTAGGTATTACAAATTATTTACAATTCAAATCACAAACAATGCACTCAACATCGACTCCTAGCAAGAGTGAAAAAAATCAATATCATGTTAAATTCATAGTTTCCCCATCCTCATTCCTATCCAGGGGTGTCATATCTAAATCTCATCTGTAAAATCGGCAGGTATCAATATGAATAAATCGTGGTAACATTAACCCATGTGCGTGTGCGAGTATCCCCTTCCCAGTAACCCCCTCCCAATTTCCAAACCACCAATACAGCGCCCCATTCTCTGTCTACCTTCACCACTTAAATCCACGTCGAAGAACCACCGACCCCCTTCAAACTCTCCTCCATAGCCCGCTTCAACGCCTCGTCATGAGCAGCATCATTCTCCATCTCCCTTTTTTTCTTTTCCTCCAGTGCTTTCATCTCGTTTTCCTCAATCGTCTTTCTCTCTTTTTCTTCCGCTGCCCTCCTGTGTCGTTCCTCCGCCAAACTTTGTTTCTTTACATATTCCAATACGATTTCTTCTTCTGTCACCCCCCCAGCGAAAGTACCACTACCAGTTCCATTCATCTCATTTCCTTTGCCTTTAGATATGGATTTCTCATGCTGCTCTTTGGATTCCCTCAAAGCTCGTTTAAAATCCTCATCATCTTCACTCTCCTCATTTCGCGTCTCGATCCTGACCTCCCTTAAACTCTCCTGAATCGTTCTCGCAAGTTGCGCCTCGTGTTCCGCATCATCCTCATCACCCCTACCCCTTGCATCGCTCTCCTTACTAGCCATAATACTAGCCCTAATCGCACGATCCATAACCTCCTGATCGCTCAAGCCCGCATTTTGATTTCCCTGCAGCTCCGCCACACTTGCTCTAATAGCCCGCCCAATCATAAGGTCTTCGTCTATATTACCGCGCGAAGTAGCTGTTACCGATGCTTGGATTGCTTTTTCAAAACCTGGACTGGCATGGTAAGTAGGAGAATTGATGTTTGCGATTGGTGAATCTTGAAGCTCGCGAGTTGATTCTTGATAAAGTCCTGACAGATAACGTGGAGGGGGGCCGCTGTCTTCTACATTATATTCCTCATAAAGTTTTGTTTTTTCATCAACGGCGACATGTCTTGTTGGGAAGAAGCTTCGCGGTGAGAGTTGTCCAGTCCCCTGGCCATCGGGGCTTGCGTCTTGAGCCTTCTGCTTGCCCTTCTTGTTTTTTCGTTTGCGTTCATTCCAACGTTCGATGATATCCAGGCGCTCTTCATTGGTACAATTCTGGGACTCCTCAAAACCTTGGGCTGTTCTGGCAGCGATGATATAAGCGAGTACGCTTGAGCCGAAAAGTTTTCCCACTTGTTTGTGGATACCCATAAATGTGTAGCCAGGAAGTCCCCACAATGCTGAACAATGTTAGTGATGTAGATTAGCTTTTGATAGAATCCGACGTACCTGCTCCCGGTTTTAGGACGACCCCGGCAAGACCCTTTCCTATACCTTTCAAAAGTCCGGTAGCACCTTCCTTCCCTGCACCACGTATAGGCTGTGTAACCAGGCCAGTAATTCCATCAAAGATTCCGTAGCCAAATTCCTTTCCAGCCGCCTTGAGTCCACTCTGAAGATCAGTCACCTTTGTTTGTGGTCTGACCGTATCATCGCCATACAATTTAGGAGCATTATGAAATCCACGTGCCAAACCTAGTGTGAAATCCATAGGCGATTTCAAGCCCGCGCCAATAATACGCGAGATGCCCTTTCCTGCTCCCATAGCATTCTCTTTAGAAGGATTAAATGCCTTAGGAGTTTTGGCGCCTGAATCACTGCGAGGTTTACGGGATTCAGTGTTACCATTCAGTACTGACCGCGATGAATTTGATTGCTTCATACCAGGGGTCGGTATATTGGACGAGGAACTCTGGGTCGTAGTGGGTGTTAACGGAGTAGCTATATCATCTGAAAATCGTCGGTCGGTCTCGTAAGAAGTCTTTGCCAAAGATTCAGATGCTTGCAGCAAACTGGCGTCTACCGACTTAAGCGATCTTTCGTCCAAGAGTAAATGATCTCCAGATCGGTTCTGCACCAGAGGTTTTGGTGGAGAAGAAGCAGAATTTGAGGACTTTTTGCTAGCAACATACGCATTCTTTCCTCGCCTCACTTGCCTAAAGATTTCTATGGGAAAATCTGCCACACCCATACTGATACTCGCCATAGTTCCAAGAATTGCAGTTGCTCCTCCAGAAATCGGATCCCAAGGACCCTGCTCAGTCACATATTCTTTTGCACGGTGCCTAATTTAATCAGCCACCGATTCAATGTTAGGATATTAGGAACAACCTACAATCTTAAATCTGCAAAATTGATGAGATTCTCACTAGCAAGAACATTCGCAGCCAAAGCACTAAGCCTAGTTTGAGAATGCTTCAACTTCCAGACTGCTGCTCTATGCGGTGCGAAAGAGCATCTCATATTTTCAGTATTCATATTATCGTGAAAGCTTTTCCCGCCAACCTCACTGCCATTCTCTTCCTTGATTTTAGCCCCTAGCTCTTGTGCCTTAGCCAGTGTTTCAGGCCTGAGTGCATCAGTAATAGCTGCAGCAAGCTTATCGGCAGTAAGTTCTTTATATGGAATAGGTATTGGGCCCGCACCAGCTCTAGCGGTCATCGCTCCCCAGAATGGTTGATCACCGAAAAATGGCACGATAACAGTAGGCTTTCCTGTAGCGATACCTGCAGAAGTAGTTCCAGCGCCGCCATGATGGACCACACAAGACACGCGCTCAAAAAGCCAATCGTGAGGAACGTTGCCCAACATAAAAACTCCCGTGGGTAAATCAAGCGCGTCACCACCGAGACCTCCCCATCCTTTGGATACCAGAGCTCGGACACCGGTCTTCCTGACGGCTTCAAAAATGAGGGTAGTCATCGCATCGGGATCATCAACGACAATGGAGCCAAATCCAATATAAATTGGTGGTGGGCCATCAGCAAGGAAAGCCGCTAAATCTGGGTCGGGGGTGAATGAGGACGCCAAAGAAAGGAAACAAAATCCAGATACTGAGATATAATTTCCCCAATCTTTTGGCTTTGGAATCAGTGCCGGTGACCAGCAATAGGTGTGTGGAATACGAAGACGACTCAGCATTCCAGGCGCCCATATCAAACTGATAGGTTCAAGGCCAAGACTCCTTTCTCTGAATCGATTAATTACATCTCCAAGCCCTTGCCACATCATCAATTCGACGAGACCATAAGTGACGAAGTTAGTCATGTTCACATCCGCATTTGAGGATTGGATATTTGCCAAGGGGTGAGGGAAGGATTGAGTGGGTGACCAGGGCATTCTGTACACAAGTTAGCAATAACAAACTACATTAACTTATGGAACAAAATATACGTGAACATGATATGTAATGGTATACCCAATTTTTCCGCAATATGAATATGCGCAAAACTTGGAGGATTAGCAATAATCGCATCAGCAATGAACGGTTTATCGGACGGATTAGTATCCATATTGATATCAGCTTCGAGGTCCGACGATTTTTGCGATTCAGATTCAATAGGAGTTAAGTCCATCCCATCTCCAGCTTCGATGCATGATCTCCAACAACCTAGGAGAATATTTTCAATACCCTTTCTTCGTTTGCCGACATCGCCTTTTTTTAGGGAATCAAAACCGGGCATAAGACCTGGATTCTTTACCATGAAAGCCATCAACTCAGAAGGATCACCACCAATGCTGAAGAATTCCAGACCATTTTCCTCAACGAAATTTTTGAATATTGGATGCGTTGCTAGACGTACACGATGTCCATAGGTGGATTTCAAGGTTTTGCCTAACGCAACGAATGGCTGTACATCTCCCCGAGAACCAACAACATGCATAACGACATTGAGTTTGGGTGGAGGTATTTGGCCAGGTAATCCTCCCAATGCAGGTGGTATATATCCTTGAGGGAGCGGAGTAGCTTCTTCTCGTGCGTTAAGCGTAAGCTGGTTTTGTAGGACAGGAATAAGGAGATCGGTCAGTTTCCGATTCTTCTGGTTAATATTTATATTGACTCGGCCATCATCGGAGATCTTCGCTTGAGTATCCAATCCATCTTGATTGATTTCTAGCTCATCGTGCTTGAGTGAATATGCAGGTGGAGGTTCTGCTGAATCGTAATGAGACCCAATATCTGGGACGTCTAGATATGAAGGAGGACGTGCACTGAGTGGAGGGAAATGATTAGTAGATGTTCAAATGCGTGGGAAGTAGGTGCACGAACGACGATGAAAATGCATTCGCCGATGACCCTGCGGTACCTGCATGGTACCTAGATTGTCTTCTTTCATGTTGTTGTGATGGGCCATCATCCTCAAGATTGGCATATATCGCAGCTTCAGCTTGTGCAATCAAAGCAGAAGGCACAGCTTCTTCCGTGGGGTTATTCGATTTGGATTTCATCTTGAAGTTAATATGCTTCCTGAGCTGATAACTGCGAGGTATATGAAATGCAGGGTGAGCGTCTTGAATTTGGAACCCACAGATTTGATGAATAAGCCAAATTCGTGTGGAGAGATCAGAGATCAGATATCAGATACTAGAAAGCATGTGAATACTAGGCACCTAGTAGGTACTCATAGGTAGTTCTAGAATACTTCAAATGTTTTCTTCTGGTATATGATGTGTGATGTGATGTGATGTGATGAT